GTTTACTACAACATCTTGGTGTTGTACATTCCTATGGGTTTGGACAAAGTATGACATGTATCTATCATGTATCTATGACATGTATAATATCACACAGAGTATTTTCACTGCCCTAAAAATCCTTTGTGCTCTGCCCATTCATCTCACGTTTGTTTTTTAAGGCAAAAGAGATCATCTGTATTAAATGATAAAATATGGTGAACTTTAAATTAGGATGCAATGGCAGCAAGACAGTTCTTTACTTTGCTGTTTTTTATTAAAGTATCTTTGATATACAATCTTATGTTTGTTTCAAATATACAACACAGTGATTTAACAGTTACCCATATTATTAAATCCTCACCCTCTCTAGTGCAATCACTATCAACGTAGTAAGATGTTACAGAATCATTAACTACATTTTCTGTGCTGTACTACCATCCCCATGACATTCTTATACTGTTAATGTTAATTATTTTGCTGTTTATCCCCCTTCACTGTCCCCCAACACCCTACCCAATCCCTCCCCCTTAATGACCACTAGTCCCTCTGTGGTGTCTATGAGTCTACTGCTATTTTGTTCCTTCTGTTTTGCTTTGCTTTTATCCTCCACAAATACTTCACTTTGCATTTTTAAGGCCCCCTTCATAAGATTCCAATACATTTCATTATCAATATGTTCCAAGCTGTTACTTCAAACAAAAAGTATCACATCCTTGAAGACAAGCCTGTAATTTTCATATCTCTCGAGCTTTGGACAGTGCTCGGCATAAACTGGTGCTAAGTAAATATTTTCTGAATTCATACCTCATTTTTAGCTATGTTTAAAAAATACAAAACTTTATTAAAACTAACCACTTGGTTTCTCTACTTCTGCACAGTGGGCTATTTCATAGTCAAAAACAGTCTCAAAACAAAGGGATCAGTTACTAGAGCAACTATTCCAAAGCTTCTTCACCCAAACCGCCAATGGTCTACTTCCTCACTCTTTGTGGTGCTTGGCTCTATTTTTCTGAGAAAACTGAAACCCATGATTTCCAACTTCTCAACCTCAACATTCCTGGTTCACCCTGACCTTTAGTTTCTAAGAATATACTCTTCCTCCTGTCACCTGCCTTCCCTGCCACCGCTTCCACTCCAGCAGAACCAGCCTGTCTCCTCCACTGAATGCCTTGGGCTTTTCTCCACTCCCACTCCTAGCCTCTGCCTCACCAAAAATGGCCTCCTCCATTCATTTCCATAAACTATACCAAACCTTCAAATCACTCTAGGAAGCACAGACCAATCTGATTTGCATTATTTCTTTCTCCTCTCAGACCTAAATCACCTAGTGAGTGGAATATTTACATCCCAACTGGAATAATTACGTGGAATAATTATTATAATTAAGAATATTGACTTACTGATATTTATTTTATTTTATATTAATTATATTAATAATATAAATAAGTAACATTAAATTAATAAATGATTAACCAGAATACATAAAGTGGAATAATTGCCTCCTGCCTTGTGAATGTCTTCACAACTATTTTCATCTGAGTCTTTCCCTCCCAAACTATATAAGTTATTTTAGGGCAAGAACTGTCTTCTACCTCACTGTATGAAAGAGCCTTCTGTTTATCATGTACATTAAAAGTTTTTTGATAATGGAGTGATAATAAGTTTGCAAATATTTGCTTTTCTAAGACTCCCACAATATACATGATTATACTGAATGCACTGACTTCTTCACATGCATTTATTTAATGTATGTATTTTTCTATTAACTGATAAATGGATAAACAAAATGTGGTATAGTCAGACCATGGAATATTATTCAACCTTGAAAAAGAACAAAATATTGATGCAAGCTACAACATGGATGAACCTGGAAAACATTCTATGTGAAGGAAGACAGACACAAAAGGTCACATAGTATCTGATTCCATTTATATGAAATGTCCAGACTAGGCAAATCCATAGAGATAGAGAGTAGATTAGTGATTGCCAGAAGCAGGGGAGAGGGGCTAATGAGGAGTAACTACTAGTGGATACCAGACTTCTTTTCAGTGGGATGAAAATATTCTGGAATTACAGTAGTGATGGCTGCACAACTTTAGGAACATACTAAAACTCACTGAATTGTATAATTCAAAAGACTGAATTTACAGTATGTGAATTCTCTCTGTCTCTGTCTCTCTCTCTCTATATATAACCCTCGTCTTCTCCGGCTTCATGTCTATATCTTTGTATCATCTTTCCATACCCAATTCTGTATATCACATTAAAACACAGCATTGCTCCCAACCCCCTCCTTTTCTTCACATTCCTAATTTACATGTAATTTCTCAGGCTGAAATATTTCAGAGATATCTCTAATTCCTTTTCTCTCGGTTTCAATATCAGTCAGTGACCAATGCCAGCTCTTTGTATTAAGAAAAATTGTTGCCCTTCTGAATTATGTAATTCCCACCATATGCTATGCCAGATGATCTACAATTATCTTTACTTTTCACAAATGTCATGCATTTTACAGAAGGAAACAGGATAAGGTAGATTAAGTACCCTGTCCTCCAGTCTTTCTCTAATCTATCCTCCACCCTTCAGCCAGAGTGATCTCCCTAAAACCAAACCTGATCATGTTATCCCCCTGCCTAAAGCTCTTCCAAATCTTCCCACTGTCATAAGCTCACACTCCTTACTTGGTATAAGGTACCCTTCATGATTCCTCTTCTCTCACTGCTCCTCATACCAGCTTCTTTGTTTCTGGGCCATACCATGCTCTTTCTCCTCTTGCCTCTGGACTGGACACAGAGGTCCCTTATTCATTCACTCAGTAAATAATGATTTTAGTGCCCACTATGTACCCGGCATTGTACTTGTTGTTTGGGCACATGTAGTGGATAAAACAGATATAAATTCTGCCCTTAAGGTAGTTAAGATCTAGTGGAAGAAACTGTAACAAACAAGAATTAATTGCAGATTGTGATAAGTGAAATGAAGGAAGCTGGATGCTGTATTATGGAACATCCAGGGTTAGGGGTCAAAGGAAAACTACAATGACTATTTTACATAGGTTGGTCTGATAAGGTCTCAGGTGGCATACTCTGAAATCTGAAGATTAAGAAGCCAGCTATGTGAAAAGTAGGTAAGAGGTGGGAGAGGATGAGTGACGACAGATGCTCTTAGACACATCAGCAGAGCTCCGATCAAAGATTTCTGTAGGCCACAGCTAGGAGTTTGGATTTTACTCCAAGTGCAAAGGAATTTATTGAAGAATTTTAAGTAAGAGTCACTTTTTATGGCTGAAGGAGAAAGGATTGGAGGGGCAGAAGATAGGAAATAGGGACTCACATCCTTAATAGTAATAGTTTAAGTGAGAAATGTGGGTGATTTGGATAAGGGTCTAATAGTGAAGGAGGAAAAAATTTGACAAATTAGATGAAGAACTGACCTGACTTGCAAAGTTGTCAGTTGAAAATGAGAAAGAGGTGAAGAGAGGATTTGGGGAGTTTGGGGAATTGTTATTGCAGAAAGAAAGTAAGCTAGATGCAGAAACAGAGGATCAGAAGGCTCTCAGGCCAATGCTGAGTGAATAGTCAAGAAATTGGCCATTTTCATTCTCTAGTGTCATCAGTTTGCCCAGGACTTTCCCCAGCAATGTTCAGCAGTACAGGTGCAGGTACAAAGAGGGCAAGATGTCTGATTTATTCAGAGTACACAGTTTTGACAGAAGAATAAAAGGCAGAGACGGACAAGTGAACAGTGTGTTTTCAAGGGATAGATCATAATAATGTGACATTCACTCTAAGCTAGATAAGGGGGTAGAAATGGACAGAAAATGGAAGGCTCAGTGGACTGCAGGCACAGATGAAGTTTAAGAACCGTCTCCTTGGGGTACCTAAAGCAAGCAAATTACAAAGGCAGGATACTGTGGTCAAATAGCAGCAAGTAGTTTCTTATGTTTGGAATGGTCATCTTCCCTCTAGGCAAACCTATTTGATCTCCAACCACAACCATTCTGTGCTTCTCTGCTCCCTGTCTTTCCACCACACCCTAGGGCTACCACCTAAGTATGTCATTATTATCTCATCCAGTCAAAAAGGTCTACCTCAACTACTCCCTCCTTGAGGAATTTGTTTTCCCAACTGGGATCTCTCCTCCTGGTGACAGCACTCATCCAGTGTTTACTTCGGATAGTATTCACGCACTAGTCATTCTTTTTCCCTTCCATCCCCTTTACTCAATTGGGATAAGGCACTGGATCCCGTGGCAGTCCCCAGAACAGTGCCAGGCACGGAGCAGTCATTCACTAAATGCTAACAGAGATCTCAGGCTCATGGGCCTCCAAACCTCATTTGTTCTTTAAAGCAGGATTCCACTGAGGTCAAACAAAAGCTTATAATGTCTGTTCACAAAAGTTCCAGATATGTCCACTTACCTCAAGAGTGGGCTCCAATTTCACAAATTCTATTTTAACCCACTGTTACATTCAAACCACCCTCGTGCCAGGATGCGGGGTTACGAACCTGTATGATGATCAAAAATCTGGATGCCAAAATTTGAGAAAAGTCATGTTCACTAAAACACAAGTAATTTTCCTCCTAGCTTAACGCAGGCCCGGAAAACCTGGGATAAGAGCTAGACTAAAAGGGTACGAGAGGTGCCCACAGAGTCAGCTGGCAAAGGGGTGTACTCGTGGTCTGACCTCAGCCTGGAGCCTACCTTCCTCCTCTGCAGCTGCAGGAGCCGTATCAGAGGTTGCCCCCGGGCCGGCTGCCATGGCTAGCACGACGCGGGCTCCGCCCGAACCCCGAAGTGGAATGGAGAGGGCGTGGGGTCCGAGGAGCGCCAACACCCGGACTCTGAAGCCGGACAACAGGAAACGGCCGCTGCTGGAGCTCCGGGCCTCCCCCCGGAAGCACCGTTTACGTCACAGTCACGTGACAGGCGGCGGGCAGGGCCACGCAGATTTGTTTTGATTCCCTATTGTGGAAATGTTAAGCACGTGGGTTCGGCTGTGGCGCTTTTCAACCTACCCGGAGTTTAGGATTTTTCCAATGTAGTCGTTTCTTCCCTTTGTTTCTGCGTCTCCTCGTTTTATAATCACGTTTTTCCTTTCCTTTGTGGCGCTTTCCTCCACCCAACGGTATTGGAGTTTTAGGAGGTCTGCTTTTTTGTAGCTGCGGGCAGTGCAATGTGACTGTCCGCTTACCTTGCAGCCGCTCATACCAGCCTTGGACACCGGGAGAGCTCCCGCTTTTCTTCCACTCCTCTTGCCCTTGCGGCAGCAACATGAGTCCATCTGGTTTTCGTGGCTGCTGGGGAATAAGAACCCCAGGCAAATGTCCTTTTATTGCGTTCCTTGTGATTCAGCCCCATCCACCCCGCAACCCGGCCCCCAGCAAAATCCCTTGACCTGTTTTCAAGGCTACTAACCGACAGCTGTCAGCTTCTGGATTTGTGTATCAAAGTAACTGCTTGATCAAGAGGTCAACAACACCCACCCTCTTAACTTTCCGTCTGGTCATAATTATATAACTGTATATGGTCATTTGGGTGCAGATATCTTCCAGTCAACATATATTTAACGCTCGCCTATTAATGACAGGCAAAAGAGTACAAAGATATCTACCTATCTACAGCTTATATATAGATAATATATGAATGAAAATGGCTAGTTCTTAATCTTATTGGGTATGTATGACACCAAACGATAGCTAAGAAAACTAGGCACTTTGTACATAAGTAATGTTCATGAGGCAATCCAACACCTCAATCTTATCCTATCTCCCCCTATAATTTCTTAAGTTATAAACCCAGTGAAAATAAAAATAAACATGATATAGAAGAAAGCATTAGCTTAAGTGACCCGAGGTGTCCGAGTTGTTTATTAGGCACGTGATGTAAACTTGGGCACTTCCTCCAACAACCCCGGGTTCCTCACCAGCCTCCTCTAACAGCTTCTCTGGGAGTTTCCTTTTCCCCGGGCTCAGCCGCGCTCTTCCCTGCCTTTTCAATTTCTCCTTGTCCCCGCTCTGGACGCCGGCTCCACTCGCGGTCTCACCTCGATTTCCTCTCGCCTTGTGGGGCTCCCCAGCCGCCTCCCGGAGCGCAGCACCTGCCCCCCCTCCCTGCCCCCCACCCCCGAGCCGGCTCGCGCGGCGCACGCGCACCAGGCGCACCAGGCGCGGCCGGGAGGCCGAGAGCGAGCATAGTAACCTCTGTCTCCGCTGTCCCGGCGGTCAGCGCCGGGCTGGTCGACGGCCACCTGGACAACGCGGGGCACGGGCCCCGCGGGCCGCGTGTCGTCATGGGCTCCAGCTGGAGCAACGAGGAGGAACGGCAGCCGCTGCTGGGGCCCGGGCTCGGGCCTGCGCCGGGAGCTGCCTGGAGAAGCCGGGAGGCGGCAGCGGCGGCGCTGCCCGAGGCGGCCCCGGTTCCCGGGCGGGTGTACGGGCGCCGCTGGCTTGTGCTGCTGCTCTTCTCGCTGCTGGCGTTCGCGCAGGGCCTGGTCTGGAACACCTGGGGCCCCATCCAGAACTCGGCGCGCCAGGCCTACGGCTTCTCCAGCTGGGACATCGCGCTACTCGTGCTGTGGGGGCCCATCGGCTTCCTGCCCTGCTTCGCGTTCATGTGGCTCCTGGACAAGAGAGGTGAGGAGGGCCGGGAGAGCCGGCCCCCGCGGGCCCACCAAGGGGAGCCGAAGCCCGTCCGGTCCCCAGGCCAGCGAGCCGCCGCCCTCGGCTTCGGCGGGGGGATTGTGAGGAGACGGACGTTGCTGGCGCCCGCTTCCTGACCAGCAGCCTCCGTCCCCAAAGAAGCAAACATGGGAAGACTGCTTAGCAGATATTTATGTTTGTATCAAGGCCCGTTACGCAATATCAGGGATTAAGCGATCTCCAAATGCTCAAGTTTTTGCCTGTTGTTGACATCAGAGCATCCCCACGCACGTGCTCTGTACATTTTTTACATCTGACAAAATGACTGTTGGTTTGACTTAAAAGAGATTTGGGAATGTTGAGGGTGCAAGGTCAGAAAATAGAAAGATGATGCCCATATTTAAGGAAGTAATGCGTTGGCTTTGCATAATAGGTGACTCCAGCCCAGGGCTGTTGGGAAACTCGGATCTGACGCTTTGGTTTCTGGAAAATGGTTCACAGCAGCTTTAAAATGTGTGTGGGGGACTAGGTGGTGTCTCAGTTGAGATTTATACGTCTCCAATAAAGCAAGGCACATGAATGAAGACTCTCTGAGGAATAGTCTAGACAGACATCTCACTTCACCACTTGCCAGTGTGATTATGTGAAGAGAAAAAAGGTTGTAGGACTGAATAATAAGGCATTGAATTATACCACACAAGTATGGGCAAATGATGCATGATCAATGTGATGTAGCCGCCAGAAAAGGGAGGACAGTTTTAGGCATAGAAGTATAGGGTCTAACATAAGAAGAGAAATAGTTTGATATGCTTCACTCTAGTGTTCAGTCTGAGCATTAATTTTAAAAAGGCCATTGGCAATTTGGAGAACTCTAAAAGTTGTGTGACAAGAATGATTAAGGTTGTAAAAGTCATAATATGTAAGATGAAGGGTGTGTGTCAAGCTTGAAAAAGAAACTTGAGGCAGAATATAAAATAAGCAAAGATAAGTAAAAGAGGAATTAGACTTAATATGGGTAATTCTAGAAGGAAGAACTAAATGAAGTTCCAAAAGTATGTCTCAAAACAATACAAGGAAGAACCTTCTAACAATGAAACAAGTCCAGTCCTGGAAGTTGTGTTTTGACTGGTGTAGGACTTCCAGGTAGAGTTAAGTGTTCATGCTGAAGATGTGTGTTAGATGCTGAGGAAGGGTTTCTTGTACTGGAGGTTTTCTTTGACTGGGTTTTTTAGTTTGCTTTTAAACTGTATTATAGACTTTATTTGGGTTTCTCAAGTTTCTTCACTGTCTTTTTTTCCCCTTCCTCTTCAAGAATTCAATGTAGGGTTCCAAATTGTATTTATTTATGAGTCCTCCTTAATCTCCTCCAATCTGACAATTCCTCCATCATTCCTGATGAGGTTGGCAATTGAGGGGGAAAGGCTCTTTTGTTGTTTCTTTTTAACAGTAGTGTTCTTCAGTATTATTCCCTAAATTTAGATAACCTTGTTTTTATAGAAAAATATTAATTTTTACCCTTTTTACTGTAATTGTATCTGCTGTCCATGGCCTCATCAATCTACCTATTCGCTTTATAAAGTAAGTTACTTTAGGAGTTCTTTCAGAGTTCCTGTGGCTATATGGTGAATTCAGTTTTATCTTTTCCATTGGTTGAAGCAATGAAAATACACTTTAAAAGTCTCCCTTAGGTTACAGACCTGTGCCAGTTCATCAACTGTGGCTACCAGATGCAATGAGATAAGAAGCTTGCTCCAGAATATCAATGCACCACTTCCTTCACTAAGAAAGTCTTGCTACAAAAGAAAACAAATCAGCTGCACTATTTGCAGATGACACTAAAAAACCAGACTGCCTACTTTGAGTAGCCCTGACCCAAACAACTTAATCAATACAGTCACTCTTACAAATATGTATAAATTTCTGAATCTCAATATTAAAGACTACACTTCCTTTTGAAGTGCCTGTGGAATAGTCATAAAAATGGACATTTAAAGATAAAAGAAAAACTGCAATAAAAGGAAAATAGCACAGTGCTCTCTGACTATAATGCTAGAAAATTGATAATAATAATAAAGTTTTTTCTACCTGGAAAAAAAAAGTCTCCCTTAAGAAGTGCTTTTCCTTTTCAGTAGAAGTCTTTCCTATGTTTTCTGCCCTGCTGTAGACATTCTATCTGCATACATAGAAAGTGAGTTCCCAGTGTCCCTGGGTATGAAAGGATCTTGCTCCCTAGAAGGTAGGTGGTTTTCTGGCCTTCTGCTGCCATGCATCCCAGCAAGCTTAGCATGAACACTGGTTATCTTCCTAAGATGGGTTTTGTACTGCCTCATCCCTCTTCATTTTACAGCAAGGAGACAAAAAAAGACTTGCTGGTGAGATAATAGCACCAAGAAAGAGTGCCAAGTGAAAAAAGTTTCAAGGAGATAGCACCTAAATATGTGTTAAGGCCTGGGGAGGTAGCCCTCACAGAGCCTACGTTTTAGTGAGGAGATCCAGGCAACACATAAACAGTAAAATTAAATATTTAGTATGTCAGATGGTGGTAAGTGCTTTGGAGAAAAATAAAGCAGGGCAAGATATGAGTGAGTGGTATTCTACTTTATATAGAGTGTCCAGGAAGGCCTGACTGATAAAGAGTATTTGAGCAGAGATCTGAGGGGAAAGAAGCCTCACTTGTCAATTCTGGACAAGACTGTTTCAGGCAAAGGTCCTGAACTTGTTTGGCATATCCCAGAAAGAGCAATGAGGCCTGTGTGTCTGGAGGTGAGCCATGAGGGAAACACTGATAGGAGATGAGGTCAGAGAGGTAGTTGGAGGCTGAATCATGCAGTGCCTTGCTGTCCACTAAGGAACGAGGAGGGCTTACTCCATGGGAAGGCTGTGAGCCGAAGAGGAAAATGATGACCTTGCTACTTACTGTCTTGAGAACAAGAGCCTGAGCAGGGAGACCAGTTAGGAAGCTAGTGGAATAACTCAGCTGGGGCTGATGGTGACTTCCAACTGTAAGATAAATTCTAATTTTGCTGTGTACTTGATACCGAGACTCATTTGCTTTAATTTTATATAGCATGACCATATTAAATTCTTCTACAAACTTTCTACAACCTTTTTACATTTAGAGTTCTCCCTCTACATAAACAGCTGTACTTTAAAACAAAGTTACTTCCTTTTATCAAGACACATTCTTTAGCATGCAGAAATGTT